CCTGTGTTTCCCTCTTCTCTGGGTGTAGGTGGCTCCAAGAATTTGGGGGAGGGGATCACTGATGGTCACTACTACTGGTGTTCTGGTGTCCACTGGCAGAGGGCTCTTTGTCCCTCTGAATGATACTTGTTTCTCTCTAGCTAATCTCTCATGCTGTTCCGCAGGCTGAGGCACCCCGGAGCAAATCAACCTCAGCCTCACTGATGACTGAGGCAGGACTTCTGGGGTGGGAGTGTAAGGTAGTGCTAGAACAAGTACTTACCTAGCCTGCCTGACCTCCTGGGTTTGGTATCTAGCACCACAGACTAGAATAAGCTTGCAAACGTCTGTGGTCTGTGCCGCTACCTCAAGTCAAGTCAATGCCAGAGGGCAGTGCTGCCATGGGCTTGTTGAGGTTAGCAACCCTGGCCTATGCTGTCGCCTGAGCCCATGATGGGGGGCTGTGGTCCGTTGTCTTGCTGCTCTAGAGTGTTGTGATGGGGGTCTGTGGTCCTGCCGCAGCCAGGGTCATGTTAATGTCCATAGTCTGAGTCACCACCAAAGGCCATGTGGATGTCCATGGCCTGTGCTGCCGCCTGAAGCCATGTAAATCAATGGCCATGGGCTGCACTACTGCTTGGGATGCTTGGGACCATATTGGAGTCCATGGCCCATGCTGTAGCAAAGGTCTGTGTTGATGCCCATGGTCTGCACTGCCACCAGAGACCAAACTGAGCTCCATGGCATAAAGCCAGAAACCACACAGAAGTCCATGATCTCTCCTCCTGCTCACTGTAATGGGCAAGGAAGCTACTTTTGCAGTGATATATGGATATAGACTCACAGTTGAGAAAGAGGGACATAAAAGGCTTCTGTAGTGGTTCCCCACCCCCAAAAGTACAGCCTAGACAGAAAGCCTTTAAAGAGAACGCTTAAAAATTGTGGTAAGGATGCTGAAGTATAGCTCTCCATAACTGATGGCTTCTGGTGGGGGTGAGGGTGGGAAAGGGCTCAGTTTTCTTTAAGGGCCTGGCCACCAAAAGTTTGACCAATGAGTATATGGACAATAAAATTTGGACATGTTTTCTACCTTTCTTCTTCTTCTTCTTCTTTTTCTTCTTCTTCTTCTTCTTCTTCTTCTTCTTCTTCTTCTTCTTCTTCTCCTTCTCCTTCTCCTCCTCCTCCTCCTCCTCCTCCTCCTCCTCCTCCTCCTCCTTCTCCTTCTCCTTCTCCTTCTTGTCTTCTTCTCCTCCTCCTCTTCTTCTCCTCCTTCTGAGAACTATGAAGTGAGTGTGATTTGTGAAATTCCAAAATAATCAGTAATCAAAAATATTATGTTGGGACAAAATGAACAACAAGGAAAGCAAAACAACAATAACAAAAAAATTAGAATTTTCATCCTTAAGAAAACAAACTCTTGTGGCCAGTTTAAATCCCCTCCCTGAACCTTCTTCTTACCCACCCACCAATCTTGCCTCCTCCCTCTCCCTCACACCCACTCTCTGCTTGACTCCCTTTCCCCCACTCTTCCCCTTTTTCTCCAAGCCCCCACTCTTTTTTCTTCATTCTTTTATTTGAAAAAAAATATGTAATGTACAAACAGGTACAAAAAATAAATAAAATGATAGCCTTCTGAAATTCCAGAATCCAAAACAAGCACCTGCCTCACTTGGCCAGATTTGCTTTCAGAGGTTTGTTCGTCTTCTTTCCCTTTGCTTATCAAAAAGCTGACTGATGCAACAAGGATAGATTCCATATCATCCCTGCCTTTTCCTCACTCTCTGTCTTCCGACGCATTCACTTCCTGCAGAAACCCCTGTGCTGTGAACGTGGGGCGTGTCCCTGAACAGTGCGTTCTTTGTGTTTTCACATGTGCATGCGCATATCCACATGCTACATGTGACTGTGTCTGTGCGTTTCCAGTAGTTTCTATTGCTTAATGATTATCTGTGAGGAGACACATGCGCACTGATGTACGTGTATAGAACCAGCTGACTCCCTTTAGGGGCTGTGCGTTGTTCCACGGAACACGGGAAGTGAAGCTTTCCTTACTCATTGCCTTTTCCGGTGAGCATTTAAGTCATTGTGCAGTCTTGTTATGCTAAAAACAAAACAGAACAAAAAAGTGTGAAGATGCTCTTCTTAGTGTCTGCCTCCCTGTATGCAGGCTCATTGAGCACCTCTGCCAGGTAGAATCAGCATGCGTGGAATATGCCCTGCTGCTTTTGATAAATACGATAAAAGCCCTGACTAGAATAATGTCCCAATTCGGGATTCTGCCGGGAGTAATTGGAATATTACATTATTTGTCTCACATCTTAGACAACATTGAATTTTGCCAGGCCTTTTCATGTTAACTATTTGGATGGAAGGAAAATGAAATCTTATTATTTTAATTTCCTTTTTCTTCCTAACCAGTGCCTGGATTTCTTACATTCATGATCCGTTATATTTCTTCTTTGAATAACCCCCATTCCTCTGTTGTTTTGTGTTCTGCTTTTTTATTTTTCCTTTAAAGCGTTTCTTATATGTTCTGATTTCTTGTCCCCTGTCTGCCAAATGTGTCCCTGAAGGCATGACTGGCTCGGCGAGGTCACTCTTCAGATGGTTAGATTGTCTTGCGATCTGGTTTTGTCCTCTGCATCACTAAGAAGTCAGGCATATACTCCGCTTCCAGTGTGTCAGTCATTTGGATCTGATGTCTGATTCTCCAGCATAGAGCTGTCTGGTCCCCACTATCTCCACACGGACTGGCTGCAGTTTTCTTCTTCAGGTTTCCCAGGGAGACGTCTTAGTGATCTTATCTCCAGTTTATTCTCACCAAAGAGCCAGAGAGACCTCACTACAATGTAGGTCAGCTTTTGGTCCACCTCCACTCAGAACCCTACAGTGGCTTTTGTTCCTTGCAGCATATAGAAGCCTGAGTGACAGCGGGGGTCCAGACCCCAGCTGCTGGTCCCTGCTTTCTCATCCCAGCCCTCTTGCATTAGGGTAGCTAGTCATAGCTGCTTCCCTCCCAATACATCAACACTCTCCCCTCTGCCTGGAGAGATCTTCCTCCAAAGCCGTCTTTTTGTCTGCCTTCTGCATCTCATTCAGGTTTTGCCTGAGATGTTCATTCCCAGTGAGATCTTCCTTAATTTCCTTGTTTAAAAATGTAGACACCTCCGTAAATTCACCGCCCATTTCCTAGGGCGGCACTCGAAACATACTGCGAACTGAGAAACGTGCAACTACAGAAATGCTTTTTTGTCTGGAAGCTCTGTAGACTGTCACTCTGAAATCTGAGCATCATCAGGGCCATGCTCCCAGGGGAGCTCTCCCAGAGAATGGGTGGGTGGGGGTGCAGGGGTGGGGTTCCGCCTCTTGCTGGTCTCTGGTGGCTTGCTAGCAACACTTAGCACTCTTTGCCTTGCAGCAGCCTCACGCTGGTCCCTGTCCTCATAGGATATCCTCCTGCTGTGTCACCATCTTCACATGGTCTCCTCTTAGATGTAAACCTCTTCCACTAGATCTGGTCCATCCTGTTCCAGTGTGACATCATCTTAAGCTTTGTCTACGCAACCCTATTCCATTCTCTGAAACTGGAAAATAAGAATTTAATCTCTCTCCCTGCCTCCCTGCCTCCCTCCCTCTTTTCCTCCCTCCCTCCTACCTTGGGTGGGGAGGCCACATTCTCCAGAGCACTCAATGCCCTGTAATCACCCAGGCACTTGCTATCCTTACTTTATTGTCTGGTTTCCCCTATGAGCATCTCGATGGAATGTGAAACTATTGTGTTCAGCGCTGTAGAGAGTACTGCCTTGGAGCTCTGTCGTCTCTGTGAGTGTTTGCTGGTGACAGAGGAATGATTTCAGTCACAGAATGAGCAGGGCAAGTGACATGGCTTGGACACAATCACAGAGAATGAAGTACTGCCTGTGACTATGGCATTTTTTATTTCAAAACGGGTCTATGAAGGAAAAGTAGAACTAGAGATTACAGTGAAGAGGAGGTGACCAGATGGGGATGTCACTGGGTCATTCGTGAGCAGGAGAATCTGTTGGCCTCTTAGTCACTTTCGATAATGAAAAAAATCCTCTAATAAACACATCCTTCATATATTACTATGCCCATTTGACAGGGACAAAATAAAAAGATAAATTACATTGAATAGTTGTGTGGGGCCTAAACGTAGCAGCTGTACCAAATGTCTGTGTTCTTTTTTGTGCTGGCTACTTTATGTTAACTTGACACAGCTAGAATCATCTGGAGGAGACACCTCCATGAGACCTCTAAGATCTGGCTGCAGGCAAGCCTGTAAGATATTTTCTTGATTAGTGGCTAATGCGGGAGGACCAAGCCTGCTAGGTGGTGCCCCAGGGATGGTAGCAGGCCAGCAAATTATGAGGAGCAAGCCAGTAAACAGCACTCCTTTAAAGTCTCTGCATTCATTAAGGCCTTAAGGTTCCTGCCCTGCTTCAGCTCAATCCCTGACTTCCCTCAGTATAAGATGAAATAAACCCTTTCTTCCGCAAGCTGATTTTGGTCATGGGTTTTAGCACAGCAATAGAAACCCTAAGACATCTCACTCGTAATCGATGACAGTTGGCCTCGTGTTCCAAAGGAGAGGGAGTTAAATGACCCACAAGTGACTCTTGAGTGGATCTGACATGGAATTCTGCAAAGCCAGAGCAGTGTTCTCCTGGGTCAGGCTCATTGTTTGCAAAACAGAAATCCCAGTATTAGGATTGTCCCGTTCTGGAGGAGGCCAGATGCTGCATCTAGGAAGGCCCTGGGGTGGGAATCAGAATATGGACAGGTGCAGCACTATTCTGACGCTGCTGTCATTCCTCTGAGCCACACTCTCCTGCAGAGAAACAATGGTTCCAGAAGCGGCACTATGCCTCTATAGCCCCTTAAACAGTTCCTAACGCAGCCACGCCAGCTCAGTGATCTTCATGGACTCTTTGTATGAAGTTGTGTCTCGAAGCTGTCCGGTACACTGCCGAGTGACCATCTGAACTTGTTCTTCCCGTTAGGTGTCCTGGGACAACCCTCTCTGTCATTCCTCTGCAAAACCTCTTCGTCCTGCACCGAGGACCCCAAGGACACAGCACGCGTGTGAAAGGTAGTGTTTGCTTAATTTTATTTCTTTTCAAAGAGCATGATCCGTTTGCCTTACTGTGTGGATGTCCTTATGGTATTAGTCTCATTCTTTTGCATATAAATAGAACTTTATAATTGTTCGAGGTTAGAGCCAGATCTCCTTAGAGAACCTGCCCTCTTGCTGGCTTTTGTTTGTAGCCGCCGTTTTAAAATAGGAATATAAATATTATGTCAGTGACATAAAAGAATGATGGCTTCACTTTCTGAAGGAAAGCATTGCCTTCCCTTCCCATGAAGCACAGCCAAACCGGTACCTGATTGACATGCCATAACTGTTCTTCCCCCACTATATAGGCACACATATTTAATAATTTTTATAGAGGAAAAGAAAGGTTAAGTAGTCACAAAGTCAGGTTTTAATGCCTTGTGTGGCTTTAAGGAAGACGGTAGGATTGAAATGAAATTAGTAGCAGCGAGAGGAGCCCTCCGTCAAGGGACCTGTGTCCTTCAAGGGTGAAGGGTTGCTCTTGGTCAGAGAATCCCCTGCTGGTACAGAATAGGTAGTGAATGATGAATCCCATCAAGAGACCCAAAGGTTAGCTAAAGTCTTCCCTTCCCTTCATGTCTAAGTGTTTTCACCCGGTGGGTCAGATACGCAACTTAAAAGGAGATAGCTGATGGAGGAGAAATGAACTCACGATACTCAGAAGACAGGCTTCCTGTCACAGCAGTCAGGCATGCTGGAAGGAATGCCTTCGCTCTGACTTTTTCTTGCATGCCTTCCTTTCCCATGGCAGTCTTTAAACCTTCCAGAAAACCTAAAAAAGCTGCAATGTAGTTTCCCCCAGAACTGTGTGTAAGATTGGCCATTCAGAGATTCTCTGGCACGCCCTGTCTGCTAGCAGTCATAACTCATTCTAGGAGTGTATTCCAATCCTAGGTCAACAGAAGGACACAGGAAAGCTGAGAAGTTACTGAATCCCTAGGCCTTGCTCAGTTCTTCTCAGTCGAGGAGGTCTCAGACCAGTAGGTCATCATCTTTTTGACCAATCACATTCCTACATGAATGTCCATTTTGTTTTATATCTAAGCATAAGAAATGGGTTCTCCCTTGTCTTTGGTTTCTGTTTCCAAAGTCTCTCATGTCACATAAAACTTTGTATGTCAGATTTTCCACTTGTTAACTTGTATTTTGTTATAGGGATGTTGTATGTGATACTTGTTATGTGTGAGAAAAGATCATACACATGCACACACAGATACACACAGGTGTACACTGACAGTCATATATGTTGGCTCCACAATTCCAGTCTGGTCATTTCGCCAGCATGTAGGCAATGAGCTACTCTATTTTATTTGATTTTTAATTAATTAATTAATTAACTTACATATTTATAGACAGGGTTTTCTATATAACCCAAATTGGCCTCAAGCATGCCTAGCCTTCATTTCACCATTTGCCTGAATTCTAGGATCTCAAACATGTGCATGACTCTTGGCAGGCTGTGATCAGTTAACCTTGCTTTCATATATGCTCCTGTTCCTTCCTGTCGTTCCTCTTCATGCTTCCTCCTTTAACAACATCTTCATGTCTATGTCTTTGCAAACTGTGTGTGTGTGTGTAAATTGACCAACTCCATGAATCAAAAGACACCGGGTAACCCTGTCTCTTACATCTACTTTATCTTGTGCACCAATTTGCCCCTGGCTCTGCCTACCTTCCCATGATTCCTCAAGCCTTTGACATCCACGGGTTTATGTGAAGTTCATCAAATTGGCCAGAACTGCCTGTAGAGTTTGTATTGCTATCGGACATTGCTTTGTCATGTGAAAGCCTTCAATGAATACATGGTAGGGTGGGATAGGCCTCCCACTTTCACTTCCTAATGCAACTGACTTCTTGGTAGATTTTCTGCCAATCTAGAGAGCCTATCTACAAAGCAGAAGAGAAATGCCGTGAAGCCGGGCGGTGGTGGCTCACACCTTTAATTCCAGCACTCGGGAGGCAAAGGCAGGCGGATCTCTGTGAGTTCGGGGCCAGCCTGGTCTACAAGAGCTAGTTTCAGGACAGGCTCCAAAGCTACAGAGAAATCCTGTCTCAAAAAAAAAAAAAAAGAACCAAAACAACAACAACAAAACAACAACAACAACAACAACAAAAGCAAAAGAAAATGCAGTGAGCTGTAAACTTTGAGTATGGCCATTTAGCCTTGAGTATTTTTGTTCTGTTTGGCATCTTAACCCTAGAAATAAGGCTCTTAAAAATAAAGCCTGCAATTATTTGAAAGAGTAATTAAAAGTGACTGATTTTCAAGTTTGAGACCTCACTTATTTCTCTGTGCTTAGAAAGACGTCTCTTCTTCTCCTAACAATAAAAGACAGTGCCTAATAATTTCAAATACTTCCCCTCTGCTGTTTCTGCCTGAGTTTTTGCTGTTTGCTGTTTGATCTTCGTCAGCCTGCGTAACCTCTCTGAACTCTGGTTTCTTCCCCAATGAAATGAAATGAAATGAAACTAATTTTAGGAATTGTTTCCTATAATGGTTATGAAAGAGTAAAAGATAATTGATGTTAAGTGGTTACGAGGATGTCTTCCATGAAGAAGCTTCCAAGATATGATGCTCATAATGACTAATGGTCAAAACATGGTTGTCACTAGTATGCATGAGAGTAGATCACTTACTTACTATTGAAGGATTTTTAATACTTCCTTTCTCTTAGAATATTACCTATGACTATGTCAATGTGGTAGATGTAGAGATGTCTAAAGCCACAAAAGTAACACTGAATAATGTGACCAAGTGTCACATGGATACACCTAGGAAAAATGGTCAGTACAGAACTCACTGTTTTGAGATTCAAGACTGCCATGTCTGCGTGATGTTTTAGTGTATAATCTGTAGATTTAGTCCAGTCTCCTCGTGTGCTTGGCAAGATGGTCAAAGGAGCCCCAGGCCTGACTTCTGTTTCCTGTTAGGACCAAAACCAGGTATTTCTAGTCAAGATGCTGAGTGAAGGTTAAGGAATCATTAGGAAATACAAGAGAATATTTCCTCAGTGTTTTCTCTATACTTTACAGTGTTATCTCTACATCTGCTTCTGGTGTGACCATGAAAGCTCTACTAGGCCAGGCATGACCAGAGGTATCCATTATAGTTTAGACCCTCCCTCATCTATTACCTGAAGGCAGGAAGAATAAAAGTACACAAGCTGAAGCTTTGCAGAGCTGTACTTCAAAACTTGAAAGCTGAGTTCCCACCTTACAGTATTTACTATGAAAGCCGGGTTGACTGCAGTGAGTTTGAGGCCAGCCTGGTTTCCACAGTGAATCCCAGACTGGCCAAGGGGGAGAGTAAGATGCTGTCTGCAAAAGGTAAAGAAAAGAAAGAACTTAGCCAAACCTGGAGCTGCCTCCCAAGGCCCTGTTCAGCTAGTTCTGTTTAGCTAATCTACTTGCCTGTCAAAACAGATCAATATTCCCTGGAGAATAAAGCAGAAACTGGGCCTTCCTTCTTACCATTTACATTCTTTTATTCACACGCCACAACCTCAGATTCCACGACACATAAGGAACTAAGAAAATGGGAGCAGTTTTGAAAAATAGGCAATTATCTGACATTCATTTTAAGATGGATCAGATTTGAACTTTCATTGATGGAGAGCTGTCACTGTTGAAATCAAAATTTCCTGAGTGGCCTTAGAGCATGTGGAGGGGACCAGGACAAGTACCAGTAACCCTTACAATAGAGCCGTGGCAATTTTCTGGAGCACAGGGAAAAAAAAAACTATTTAAATGCCTGAACAGTGAAAAAAAGAGTCAAGGCTCCGGTAACTGTGCTACAAAATTTAGCATAGCTAGCTACTCAACATGTAACTGGAGTCACAGAAGAAATAGAATCATGCAGAAAGTACGTTTGAGGTTCTTGTGCTCCTGAGACCTAAGCTCATAAGTGATTGTAAATCCAGTTTCACACGACTGCACATAAAATAAAGTTAAATAAATTATAAAAATATTCTTTAAAAATTCGAAATTAAAATAAGTTCTAGACAACTGGAAAGACTGTCTCAAATAAAAGTAAAATAAAATGTTCTAAAATAGGACAACTTCCCTGCCC